GTAATTTTAGTTCCTTTTAGAAAATTAAATACCAAGATTTTATTTAATTTCATTTTGTTACATTTCCTTTTTTTTTATTTTAAAATTTCATTTATTGGACTTTCATTTCTTTTCATTATATACATTAAATTTTATTTAATTTTATTTCAGTCCTTGATTTGTCATTTCATTTTTTTTCTTTTTATTTTTTTGGTATTTTAGAATTCCATTTAATTGCCTTTTATTACATGAAGTTTCATTTTATATAATTTCATTCCTTGCTTTGTCATTTCACAAAAGAAAATGAAATATTGATATTTCATTTAATTGCATTTCCTTATTTTTAATTTCTTTTCAATTAATTTGATTTAATTTCCTTCCTTTAAGTTACGTTTCATTCATCTTCATTCCTTGATATCCTTTTCATTCTTTGAATGACAATGAATCTCATGAAATGTCTAGATTGTTACATTTCACTTAGTCATTCCTTGAAGTTTTATTTTATTTCACTTGATTCCTTGATTTTGATTTTATTTAGTTTAATTTCATTCAGTGAAGTTTCATTTATTTTAAAGTCATTTCACTGCTTGATTTTTCATTTCATTTCTCGGAAATGCAAACCGCCCATTTTTGTGTCTTGGAGCCCTACCTCTTCTTTTTGGAGCCCTATATTCCAGGTTTTATGCCTATAATGTTTATGTTTATTCCAGGTGTTCCAGTGTTTGTGAAACGCCTGTGCTCTACAAGAGATGCACATTCGAAATGAGAATCTGCAGCTGTTATTCTGGTCAGCTGAAGGTTTAAACTGGTGAGCCCTGGCGTGCTCTCCAAGCTGATAAACGTGACCGAGAGCTGCACCGCGCCCAGAGAGAAGCATCGGCAGCAAGTGGCACTAATAATGGAGCGATTTCACAGGGCGGCGGGGTGTACTCTCGCTTTTATTCTTCTGCTCCTGAAAACTCTTGAGTATGATCCAGTCTCCTCGGAGTTAATGCTGAGCATAGCTTGAATGACTGAGAGTTTGGCTATAGTTGAGTTATTTTCCCTGCTTTAGTTTACAGTTTAAAACCCCCAAAATGTCCTAGGGTGACGTTATGGTGTTTGTATCTCCAATCCTGTGTTCTGTTTACGTTTGATATTATGTTCTGTGCTTTCAGAACTGACTCTAAAAGTGAAGGGTTTTTTTGCCTTGTTATCAGCCAGTTCACCTCCCCCCATGGTCTGCTGTCTAGAAAAGGCTAGTGCTGGCTGTCTTGCTTTTGCTTTGCTTGTTTGCTTGGCTTGCTTGCTTTGCTTGCTTCTGCTTTCGCCTTTGCTTCCTAGTTAGTTTAGCTAAGCAGTCCAATTCTTTCCCTGGACTGTTTCTTTTACTTTCCTCTTCCTGAATATCATCCAACCTGCTCTGGACTGGGACCTGGGAAACACCGAGGAGCACCGCGATCCTGCATTTAGTGATCTGCAGCAACCATCCCCAGTGCCCAGAGCAATCCCCAGCGCCCAGACCCGGGCGACCACTCCCAGGAAAGACTTTCTGGATTTGTTCATCTCTTCAGAGTGGTGAAAGAGTTTTGTTGTCATCCGGTGTTGTTAATTTTCTTTTTGGTGCTGGGGGGTGCTTTGTTCGTTGAATAAACAGATTCTTTTCCACTTCTCTCAGAGGAAATTTTTTCCCGAACCAGGTGAGTGGGGAGGGGCCCTGGGGGTTTGTTTTCTAGGGGCTCCTTCCGGAGGGTTTTCCCCAAATTTGCCCTAAGCTAGGACACAAAACTAACCCAGAATTCCTACATCTGTTGAACTGGAGCTTCTGTAACTTTCCACGGAGGAGTGGTACTGTCTGCAGATCTGAGTAGATCTTAGCTCTCTCCCCCTTCATTTCCTGCCTGCACTTCGATCTCCAAAACGACCTTTAGATACAGGATGCCCATCTCATGTAAAAGCTTTCTGGCGACCTCACTGCCAGGTAAATTTTCCTTTTGCTGAGTCCGCAGCCTGGGACGAGGTGATCTAAGAGCTCCCGCTGCCAGGACGGGGAGGCGGCGTCTTCCCCATTCCCCTCCTGGCTGTGCATTCCCACTGCTCGCCCTGCGCCGGCTCTGGGCCTCTTTGCGCAGCCTTCGGTGAGCTGACTCACCTCATTATCCCGGCAAAACCCAGCGGATGGCTTTGTGCAGGGCGGCAGCGAGCCGAGGACTGACTCACCCGCTCTCATGAAAGCCCGGCCATTGTTATTAGCAGACCATCTCCGTCCGATAAAGAGCAAACAGCTGCCCTCACGATGGCAAGCTGAGATACGCAGCTACAGAGCTGACTCTGCTGCCGCGCATTCCTCTTATTCGCACCTCTGCCAGGTGAGTGGGGAGAGCTGCTAATGCAGAACGAGCTACACGCCCGCTCAGCTCTGATGAAAGTGGCTCTCGAAGGGGCAGAGCAAAGGGCAGTTTCCCACACCCTTATTGCTGGCAGTAAACTTACAATTGATTTTTTTTTCCTCCAAAAATTTTGATGAGAAAAAGAAATAAAATTAACATGGTGCAGTCTACGTCTTATTCAGCATTTCACAACCAAACCTGCAAAAGAAGACCATCAACACTGTTATGTGTAGTGGATATAATTCGCGCCATTTCTAATATGATATATGTGATATTGAATATTTGTTAGAGTATACACGTTTGTATTAGGATTTCCCCGCACCCTCGCAGGCGAGACTGGGTGTATTTTAGAAACTGATTTACAAGTAAGAAGGTACGGCTCGCCAGGAGATGGGCCATGTCTGGGGAGATACAGAAACCCCAGGTGCTGATCGTTTACCTGAACAACCCGAGATGGATATCATGGAAATCCTCGGGCAGATACATGTGAATCAACAAACTCCAGACACTGAATTGTTCTCCCTCAGCACCAAAAAGAAAATCTTATTAACATATGGACTCTGAATAGAAGAAAAGAATGATTATTGAAATCTTGGCCTCAGGCAGAATTTTCCCTATAAAAACCGCTTGTGCCAGGATGGAGGTGTGTGAGCATGGAGGAAAACCTCTGATGAGGCTGACTCCTTGTTGCACACCCAGGGCCGACACCGGGCTCGGCTCTGTTCTTTCCTCGTGGCTAGCTAGATAGAATTTGATTGCAAAATAAATATTTTATTTTTTCATATTAATTTGGCTGGACAAATTTTCTTTTCCTTTTCTGTGGCTGGATATAGAACCACAGAATTCATAGATGTGCATGAATCATAGACGTCACTGAAAGGTTTCAGAAGCACCACTTAAACAGAGACTCAAACTTCAGTCATTATCAGGACACTGTCACCATTTTATAGCTTTAAGTGCACAGTAGTAGATGCACATCCTAAACTGCTTTTCCCTGCCCCCATTTTTACTCTCGTTTTTGTTTGTGACAAACAAACTCACCGTGGCTATACCTTTCACAAATCCTGGTGGAAATGAGCCTACTTGGAACTATCAGGGAGAGGCCTCAAGAGATGTAGGGATCTTTTAATTTTTTTGTTTCTTCTTCTTCTCTTTGTTGCCTGGGCTAATTTTATCTCTGCATGTCTAGAAGGATTCCTGCATGCCTGCCATTTGTGAAATTTTGCATTTTATGTTGGCAGGCTGGATATGGGCCAAACACCTCTCACTTGCACAGTGGCAGCAGACAATGTGCTTTGAATTTTCTCTGCACACAATGGTCAGTGACCTTTCCTCATTCACTTGCCTGTTTCTCTGCTACCCTGTAGCTCACAGATAAGTCATTGGCTGTTTTCTGCTGGCAGTTCTGCTTATGTAAGAAACTTCTTTTGTGTTTGATGCGAATTAAGGCTCATGAGTTCTGTCACATGAAAGTTGCCTCTAAAAAATTGGAGAAATTGGCAATGCTCTGCCCTCTTCTTCAAGGCTGTTAAAGGCTTTATCATGCACTCAGTTCATGGTTCCCCACTGAAATGCAAAGTTTTCAGCAGCAAGGACAGGCTGTGTGTCAGAAGCTCTTTAGTTCAGCCTGTGTTTTAGCCAGTAAATGTAACTGCCTGGATCACCTAGGGAACACTAATGGTTTTGACTGACCTCCATGGGGTTTCATCTAAAAGCACCTGAGCCAATTGCTTTGAACAGAATTTGAAATGAGATGTCTGCAGAGCACTTTCTCTCACCACAGAGGCACAAGCTGAGCTGTGGGCCCAGGAGGGGCAGCCAGGTGATGGGCCGCAGCTTCAAGGAGGTGCATGGAGACTTCTGGGGCTGCACTGGGCAGGGATGGGCAGCATTGCCAAACACTTCTCACACCTAGTGTGGTGTAACCCAGGCTCCTCCGCAAAGAGTTGCAGAAGCAGAAGAGGAGTCTGAGCAGAGCCCTAATCCACATGGCCACAGTTCTGTCCCACCAGACATCTTTGTTTGTCTCTATGATGTGACATGGACATTACTAAAGACCTGCTGCTTCCCAGCTGGGGCAGAGGTCACCCTTCACCTCACTGCTGGACTACACCTGCTGGGCATTGCTCCTGCAGTGCAAAATCTCCCAGCTGATGGCACATTGCTGTTCAAGGCTGCTTAAGCCATGTAGTCCTGCCTGCTGGATCTTTTGCTTCTGACATCCTTGGTTTACTCTCCACAAGGGCTGAAGGCAGAAGGGCCTCTCAAGGGTCTGCAGCACTGGGATCCTGTTTGGGAGGAGGGATGAGAGGTGCCTCTAAATAGAAAAAAATCATCAACACGAGGCTATTGTGGAAAGCTTCAGATTTCCTGCACAGCCCACTGAAACTTCCATTCAAAAAACAACAACAACCACCCATGAACTTGTTTTCCTGGCACAAGAGGCTGGTATAGCAGCCTGAGCAGGTGCTGACTTGGTGGCAGCCCTGAGGATCATCTCCATGGTGCTCCTACCTGTGAGCAGCCCAATAGGAACCAGCTGTGATCCCATGGTTTCTGTGGCATGCTCCAGTGAGCACAGCTGTTACAGCAAACATGTACACCAATGCACAGAGACCTCTCTTTTGTGGCACAGAAAACTGCCTGCACATCTTTCACATGAGAGGAAATTTCCGTTTACTCTTTTTAGCTCAGCCTTATTAATCACAGAGACATTTCCAAGCAAAATATGGATTTGCAGCAGAACATAGGCAAAAAGTTCATTCAGACAGGAGAAAGCACAGCTCAGCTGTGCTCATCAAACTTATTTTACCATGTACAAGTCCAGCTTCTTCTGTTTCATGTGTTATGTTTGCATTCCCACATACTTTTCCTACTGTTATCTCAGTTTACATTCTCTTTTCTCATGAACTGTTTTTCTTGCTTAAGAAAAATAAGAAAAAAATATTCTTCTGGTTTTCATTTTTATGCCTTCCCATTTTGGTTTCACAGTGCACTCTCTTGGGATATGTTCCAGAGGTTTGGTTCTTTCCAAAATGTTGGTAAATGTCAGGTGAGGTCAGTGCAGCACTGTCACCTTAAGGCTCCAGTCCTAGGTTGCTAATATGTGCCTCTTGCACGGGCAACAGACTCTGAGGTGTAAGTGAATCACCACAATATTAATAAGGATTGTGCTACAATTAAAACCTGTTGGAAGAAAGAGCAGAAAGGTTGACAAGGTATGTGGTTAGAGGAGAGGAGTGTCTCTCTCCTTCCTTATTAAGTGGCCTGATCTATGAGAGAGAGAATTTCATGGGCAGAAAATGGAATGAGGCACCGAAAACATCTCCATCCTACGGTCCCTTCTATCCCCCCAAAATTCCCCACTTTGCTCACACCTCCCCTTGTGTCCGGAGTCTCCACTGACTTGGGAATAGCCACAATCCTTAGCACTGCTTTTTTGCTGGGAGAAAAATGACTTTTACTGTGGGAGGGTACAAAAATGCAGGGTGACACCTGTGCCTCCTTGCTCCTGCCATGTGGCAGTAACTGCTGGCAGCAGTGCCAGGCCAGCAGTAGAGGCAAGAGAGACTGGGCAAGGCAGCCCTGAGCTTGGCCCCTGCACAAGGCAGCAGAGCAAGGCACTGGTGGAGTTATCACAGGTAATTAACAGGTAGTTTTGCTGTCATTAGGTGCTGCTCACAATGAGAAATCCTGATTTTACAGTGGTTCTGGTATGTTGTCCATAATTAGCATGCAGTCCTGTAATACTAATTAACTTAGGTATTAGTTCCTTAAACATCAATTCAAAAAATCACGTGAAAATTTACCTCTTCCTCAAATGAGACATGAGTTAACATGGGGGTACTTACAATGCACTACTTAGACTTGCTTAATTAGTTAATCTCTGTAAAGGGGTTTCAAATGTGTGAAGAGCTATCAAACTGCTAAGTGCATTATCTTCAATTAATTTTGTGCGACTACATCTTCACTACCAAGAGGATCTTTAGAGTGCTGAGGAAAGGAAAAGCAGACATTGCTTCTAATTTTAAAAGTAACTAATACAGAAAAAAAGGGAATTAATTGAAAGATGATTTGACATGATGGGAATAATTGTGAATACACCATTTCTTTTGTTTCAGCCAGAGCTGAATATGAAAGGTTCATCATTTTAATCCCTCCTTTGCCTTTGTTAGTCTCTGGTTTCTTGGTTTCATCTCTTCTTGGCCTTAATGCTCTCCCTCTCACTATTAACCCTCTATCTTCCAAATTTGTTACTACCTTAGCAGAAAACCAACCAACACACAAAAAGGTTAAAAAAGGGCAAATCACACCAAACCACTCTTCAAACTGGAGACACTGAGGTTACACCCTCATATAAGAGGACAAGGATCTTGTTCCAAAAGAAGCCTCATGGACTTCTCTTCAGAAGAAGGCCCTAAAGGGCCAGAACAGGCCCAGGCAGTCGTATTCCCTGGATCACCATGGTAGCCAGTAAGTTTTTAATGTGTCTTTCAAAGTTTTCTATTCTCTATAGAGCTTATATGCCTTGTTAAATACTCTCATTTTACTTCACCCATTAACAATCTGCTTTTGGAGGAGTTCTCTCAAAATGAGTTCTTTGTGCTAATACTCTGTCTAGATGGCAGCTTTATTCAGGCCAGCTACATTGAATTGGACTTCCCCAAGAACCTATTTCCTGGGTTCTTTTTCTTCCACTGGGACTAACAAAAGATAAGAACTATTTTTTTTTTTTTTCTGAGCCTGATTTGTGTTTAGAGGCTTTCACTTGCCTTTTTTTTTTTTTATTTCAATAATGGCTAATAATCACTTCTCCTTGCTGACTGCTGAGGTCCCACATGTTATGAAAAATTCAGGCAGCTTGTTTAATATCAACATGCCTGAGCAGTGGTTATGCAGTTGAGTCTCTTTCACAGACTTTGTGAAGGGGACAGGTAATGTGCATTTACAATAAATTTCTACCACATCTGGGCATTCACTCATCAGTTATCTGAAAACCTATTAATTTACCTTATTTTATCCAAAAGAAACTGGAATAGAGAATAGACTATTATATGGCTACAGCTTTATTCTCTACATACTGTAAAATAACAGCTTAACCTGTTGAATGGGACATTTCTCTAGAAAGCTAGAGTTGTGTACATGGTGATCATCAACACAGCAAGTTCTCAGGGAAAGAACTTCTGCAACCAAACCAGAGAAACCTCTCCAATCCCTCCCCAGTTCAGTTTTACAGAAGGAACCAGTGAGGGATATTAATTGTTATCCATTCCAGTGGATACTAATTTAGCTGAAGGGCCTGATCTGCTCTAATCAGGCTGAAGTGTAGGTACCTAAGAGAGCAACTTGAAAATGGATAAGTTGCTAGGGGGTACAGAAAGAAGAGCAGGACTATGAGAAGATGCAAAGAAAGCTTCTTGCCCTCCCATACCTTCATCACTTGCATGTTTGTACAAAAGCTTACAGGGCTCCTCCCCTTCATCTGGTATATCCATACAGTCCATACACACAGTGTGAGATGGGTAAGCCAGAAACTATTAAGAAAATAATTAAACTAGAAGAAAGCCAGAAACTATTAAGAAAACCTAGATTGTCTCTACCTCAACCTAAAGCCCTAACTGAAGGATTAATGTGGTTGCCAAGGATAATTTAATTCATATGGGCATCCCTCCTGCCTCTGACAGAAAGGTAGACTGGAGCCTGAAGAGACTATGACTGCTACCAGATCCAAAATGAAGGGTTAGGGCTACCTGAATACTGATCCTGAGGTTAACCTGAAGCCTGACTTTCCTGAGGGGCATTTCCACAAAATAAACCTAATTGCAGGAGCTTATCAATAGTTAGCCAAAGAGGTGACAGGGCAGGGGAGACCCAGCAAAGTCTCAATGAGCAGTCCAAGATCTTTGCTCCCTCCCTTTCATGACTGTGAAAAAAAGGGGTAAAAAAATTCTTCTTCAAAGGGTTCTCTTTCATACCAACATTTCAATAGATCAATTGCCAATAAATTAAGACAAAACAAAAAACAATGTGTGTCCTGGTGGCAAGGGAAGGTGCACTCCTTCTCTGTCCCTGTCATATCAGAAGAGCAGTTCCGGCGGAGCCCTCTGGGCCATACTGTGCCCTCACAGCAGCACCGGTGTGACGTAGTTGGCAGGGAAGAGACCCAGTTCCCCACGCAGGCGTCCTTTCCACCAGGATGGGTTGGAGCTGTCCAGGACCTCTAAGATGTCCCCACTGCGGAAGCCCAGCTCATCGTGCTCCATCGCATCAAAGTCGTACAAGGCACGGACCCACAGCGTTCTCTGGAAAGGACAGAAGCGACAGGCAGGGAACAAGGAGCCAAGACTTTGAAAGATCATCTTTGTCACCCCTCTTAAGACCCAGTAAATGCATTCACTAAGCAAGGACAGATAGTGCTGAATTTTAGACCAACTTGCAATTAAACCAGGAAGTGGCCAAGATGCCAGGAAGGAGGGACCAATTAACTGGGACACCTGAGGGATGGTGTTTGGTTTCTCAGCAGCCTCAGTCTATTTGTGGGTATTTGCACCATAAGGTGAAAAGTCAGACTGAGAGCAGGTCCTTAGGAAATTTTGTTCTCATGTCTCCAATGCCTCTGCCCTGTAAGGGCAGCCAGGACAGCCACATCTGAAGCCAGTCATGGGAGTACAGAAGGACTCCTGCCTGAAACCTGATGGGCTGTAACTATTAGGGAGTGCCTCTAGGGAGCTGGCATGGTGCTGGTACAGGTATGAAAATGTGTCCTCGGCCACCGGAGGACTGAGAGAGCCAGCGCACAGGTGAGAGTAGAGAACATTGTAAAGAAGGGTAAAGAAGAATACTTGTTCTTTCAGGCACTTTTGGGGCATAGGGGAGGGTCTCAAACCTTCTTCAGACTCTCCCCAAGGTCAGGTCTCTGAGATCCAAAGGATTTAACTTCGGTTTGAGTATACTAGTTTATCTGGAGTGTGCACTGTAATGCGCACTACAGTTATATTTTTTCTAAAGGACTCTGCAGTCAATCTCCCACTTTGGATAGAAATCATATTTTAAAGGACATAGCTTGGGCTTCTTTCTGGGAAATTGCTGGCATCCACACCACAGGGCATGGATAATTTAGGACGTATATCTGGCAGGGACAGATGGAGAGATCTGTTTGAAAGCAGACAAATTTTGAAAAATCTTCCATTCATGTCCCTGCTTAGACCTCACTGCTAGTTATTTGGTTGGACATATAGACCTTCCTATAATTGGATTTGTGGCTTCTACATCACTGATGGGACGTAGCAGGCAAAAGCATGTTGTTACTCATTGCCACAGCCTCTGAGAGATAAAAACCTTTGTATTTTAAGATGGATTACAATAAAGATTTGGGGCTTTTGCCAAGAAAAGGGGCATGCCCCTATTTTTTAAGGTGTTCCAAATCTCCTAATCCAATCTGATCTTTTTCACTCATTCTTGAGAAGGTCTGCTGTCCTTTCATTCTTTCCTTGGATCTAGGTTCTCTGGTTATGGGCTAAGCTGGACATTTCTTCAAGGAAGAGGAGCATGCCTTAGGTCACACTGAGCTCATAGGGAAATACTTTGTAGCTGGCAGTGGAACCACAGGCTGAGGCAGAGAAAGACATCACATTCTGTGTGGGCATTCACATAGCGGGACTTGGCAGAGCAGGTAGTGACTGAAGGTCTGGGGTGTCTGCAGAGACACATCTGGATCACACTCACATCCACTGTGCTAAGAGGTTCTGACAGCCAAGGGTGTCAGGTAGGTGAGTCCTGCTTTGACAGCAAAGGAGGCCTGAGAGATGTGCTAGGCACAGACAAGTAGAGCTGGGTGATCTCAGGCCTTCTCAGGACTGCAGCAAAAATTAATGGAAGAGACAGTGTGACTACAAGTGCGTTGCAAGACAGAAGGAGCACTGTAGCATGGTACAGTATCATGAGGCTGCTCTCCATAGAACTTAAAAAATGTACTGCACATTTAGCTACTGACATCAGTCACTGTCTGGCTGCGGTGGCAAAGATAATTGAAAGCTCTGTGCATTAATGGACATGAAGTTCTACTAGAAGAGATCATTAGGCTTTCAGAAATGTCTTCTGCTGGACTAGTCTTGTGCTTGATCAAAATCCATGGGTAAGCTTGTGCTCATTCCAGCATCCCATATGGGGATTGTCCCTATTTTGCTGTGCTCATGCTAAGTTCCCTCTTCCACTGAGGCTGCATAGGACTGACCTTGAGAGCAGTTACCAGAACTATGCTCACATAACACCATAGTCCTACCCCCAGAGTGTCCCAGAAGCAGATTCAAGTGGCTGGGATAGAGTCATGAGACTCAGAAATGTCTTGTAAGACATGGCCTGGCAGACAAAATACACTACTTCTCATGGAACCTCCATGTAGGTAGCACTGTCCAAGACTGCTTGGCCACTGCTAAGAGACCCACTGACTTGGGCAGATGAGGCCCTCCAGGTGCATCACCTACCTGTGCCTGCTGGTGCAGTGGGTCTGTGTGTCTCCGTTGCATAGCTCCTGCACTTCCTTGGCCATGATCCCTTAGTCTATACATCATGTCTTTCCTGTCCAGACTCCCACCATATCTTTCCTAGAAAGAAAACAGCAGCATAAAAGTCATGTTGTTGTGGTTTTGGCTGGAATAGAGTTAATTTTCTTTGCAGTAGCTGTGTTTTGGATTTAGTATGTGAATACTGATAATAATACACTAATGTTCCAGTTGTTGCTAAGTAGTGGCTCACTCTAAATCAAGGACTTTTCAGTGTCTGGCCAAAGGGATATTCCATACTCCAGAACATCGTACTCAGTATATGAACTGGGGGGAGTTGGCCAGAAGAGGACAATAACTGGCATCAGCCAGTGGGTGATGAGCAATTGTTTTGTGCATCACTTCTTTTTCTTGAGTTTTATTCCTCTCTCTCTCTCTTTTTGTTATTTCCTTTTAAATAAATATAAAATTATAATAACAACTATTATTATTATTATTATTACTGCTACTATTTACTCTATTTCAATTATTAATTTGTTTTTATCTCAACCCACGAGTTTTACCTTTTTCCTGATTCTTTCCCTACTCCCACCAACAGGAGAAGGAGTGAGTGAGTGGCTGCATGGTACTTAGTTGCCAGCTGAGATTAAACCATGACACATATATATTCTGAGATGCATAAATGAGGGGATTTAAGAATTGTTAGTGGGCAAGGAGTCAGGGGCAAGCCCCCACTTTAATAATTTTAGATGTCTGCTTCCAGTTCTGCAAGTAATGACCCTCATGGAAGAGGTCAGCTTAGACTGTTCTATTTTGGATTTTACTTCTTAGGAGCTGAAAGTTGACTGTACTCAGCTGTGTTTCACAGCTGCTGGGACAAATGGTCAGCAAGGAGCTTTTTTGGTCTCTGAAGAAAAACTAAGGTTATTCTAACTCACAGATAAAAGCCATGCTTGCCAAGGAGACTCCAGCCAATCTGGAGTTATTATGACCCAGTCCTGCCCACTCCTTGCTCTTCCTCTGTCCCATATGCTGGGGGAACATCAGTTGTGCTGGTGCAGCTGACTCTGAGGACTCACTACTTCACCTTGTCTTGGGCTGCTCCATATTGTAAAGGACAGCAAGCAGGCCTATAAGTCTAGTAGCCAAACTAGCCAAAGAAGAATGAGACAAACATCTAAGTCATATTAACACAAACTGTCCCAGGCAGATGGAGAGAAGACCTCCATTTAGGAACATTTAGGAAACAAGTTCTCTTTTGTGTGCACAGCTGAGAGATGTAGATTTTTGACAAAATTACTGTTTGCTTGCTACCAAGCAATAAAAGCCAATGTTTCATACGCCTGGGCTTGATATCCCAGCCCTCTTGTTTCTGGTAGTACCTGCTGCTGCTGCAGTATGGGAATAGGATACTCTACATATCTCTTGGATATAGAAGAATGATCTTCTCCAGCTGCTCCTCCCATGTGGAATCCTTCCCGACCTATCCGTTCCAGGCTCCCGCCGTGCCTCTCCTGATGGAAGAAAGATCACAAAAGTGAGGTCAGGTTTTGCTTCCTACCACATCCTTGACTAAAGCTGGGCAATCATTGCACACTGAGCACTACCACTACCCACTACTCTGGAGGCTCTTTCAAATAAAAGACCCCAACTCTCTGCACAGAAGAACAAATTAGGAATCCTATATTTTAGATCTTTGTTATAGCCACTCTCCATCTGAAGTCAGGGTAGTACTGGGAGGTGTGGGGCTGAAAAAATGGCTACTGATGTGAGGATCAGCACAGAAGGTAAGCTTTTTCTTGAAATACTGCCCTTAGAATTAATTTGTCTCTGCATTAAAATGTATATATTACAATCATTTTATCATATGGCTGTAGCATATAAAAATTTGAATAGTGAATAGAAACCCACTGGTGGTGAGTGCTAAACATACTCTGCTGTGCATATCACCATAATAAATGTACAGAGAGTTTGCCAAAGCAAACTTGAGTTCTCTTCATTTGTCTGTCTGCATCTTGGAGCAAATGCATCTCTTTCCCTTCCTGCTCACAGTCAGCCCAAACAGGTTGTTATACTGATATACATGCATACAGTCTTTCTTTCCTTCCCCAGACACAGAGCTTCATCATTGTAATCTCTCTCTTACAGATCCCAGAGCCTCTATTTTAATACCTTGATAGTGTGTTTTTAAAGGTCTGTGTAAGTGGTCTAGAAAGAGACAACAACCCAGGCCCATTCTTCAGACTGAAAAATGTATCATCTCTCATTTTGAGCCAGCAAGAATGACCCACATGCAGCTTATAAAACTTTACTGTTGTAGTCAGCAGGTCACATATTTTCTGCCTTGTCTCTACTTGCACATCCTGGAAATTTAATACCAGAGTCCGTTTCCCAGTGAAGCAGGACTTTGGTTGCTGCAGTGACCAGGCATGTTCACTCCCAGTACAGGGAGTGCAATGTGTAGCAGCCTCTGCTATGTCATTTACTCGTTCCCCTGGCACAAAACCAGGCATTCATTGGACTGGGATTTGTCTGCCTTCTCAAACATCAACTATAACTTCCCTGAAGGCACATTTTGTTCCCAGATCTGCTATGTTCTTCTCAGTAGTACTTTCCAGTTCCTAACATCCAGGTTACCTTCTCCAGCTTCTGCCCTCTGTTCCTCCACATTCCTTTTACTGTGTTTGCTCAGCAGCAGAAGATGGACAACTCTTCTGAGCAGACAAACTTGCAGTTGTAGTTGTACTCTGGGTGCGTGCAAGGACACTAAGAAGCCAGACTCAAATTCTTCTCAGACACAACCCACCAGTCAGCTCTGTACCCGTCCTCAGGAAATCTAAGCATTTCAGTAAGGTAAATCCTGCTTCCCTTGGCATCTTAGAATTTCAGCTCTGAGGTCTTAGCACAGCTTTAGCAAAGCATCTCTATTCAGATTTGAAGAATCAAAAAATTCTGCTCAATTATACAACTCTACATACCACTGCTTCCACTAAGAATCTGTGTCTCAGGCCCCACCAGTGTAGTTATGAGGCTGCATTTCCAGGGACAGACTGTCCTCCTCCTCACCCTCAGACATTCTCATGGGATGAATTCCTCCCACAGAAAGGTTTCTGACTGAGAAACTCCTAAGGACAGTTTGTGTTTACCTTTTCTTCTTGGCTGTTGTCCCTTAAGAAGATCTGCTTCTGCCTGGAGATGGAAGTCGTCTTGTAGTAGTCCACCAGTTTGTTTAGTGAGCGGAATTTCTCTGTCCACAGGTAATAGCTACCCTTTGAATCCCTCATCACTTTGAAGTGTTGTACATCATCTTCATGCCTGGATCCCAATGGAAAAGAGATCATCAACAGATCACACTTTTACCTTTTTTGTAAAAGTCTTTTCCAGAAGGGTACCAAAACTTCTTGCTTGGCCAAATCTAGACTTCTGCAAAGTCATGCAGTGGCAGTCCTTGTGTGTACTGGACCCAGATGTGGCTCTGTTTCAAAAGACTCATCGATTTGCAAACACAGAGTGCCCCAGGGCTGCCCAGTCACAGAGCATTATCAGAACAAAGCACAGGGTTTTAAACCCTCTCTTTTGAAATAAAGGTCACAAATGCTTCCAGGGTGAAAAAGTGCAGTTGTATTCTACCCAACAGCCTCTGCAGGTCCTGTTACATCCAGTCTGCACTGACTATAATACCTGTATTAGACTTTTATACTCCATGGGGATCACCACTACATGCAGACAGAGTCATGTGAAGCCATACACTAAACTTTAAGATGGTATAAAATCTGGTGTAACATAATTACTACAGGGCATTCTTCCTATCCAAAAAGAAATTTAAAAAAAAGGAATTTTCTGATGCTGTTACAAGCCAAATTAATAATCTCAACTTTCTGCCCCTTACTCCTTCTGCACCTCCTCTCCTCTCACATCTTGTCTGATGTGTACAATTCCTCTTTGCACCAGATATGATCTGGCTCTGGTACCCACCTCCTTGCTCTGTGCAACTCCAGGCACTCAAAACACTCTTCTCAGGGGCTACATCTGCACAAATAAACTAAATGGGGACAAGCAGGGACTGATTGCTATCCTTGACTGCTACAGCCCCAAGCTGTTGAAGTGTTTGCATGGTTGTGGTTTAAATGGAAAAGCTCTCCCTTAGAAAGTGCTGGGCCATGGTTATAAAGAACAGGCCAGGAACTGTTCACAGGGAGCTGTTTGAATACAGCTCATCTGTTTGGTGGGGTGAAGAGGGTGTAGCCATACAGATCTGACCTCTGCCTGACTGCTTGACTTCAGGGCCAGAGAAAAGAGCCTGACTGTACTTGATTTGTTGGTGTTAATTGGTGCAAATGTAACCAGAATATTTTCCTGCAGTTCCTCCTGGATACTTTTTGAGCTGCCTGAATCAGCAAGTACAGACCACTTGGAAAAGACTTTGTTAATCATGACCCTAATTTAAAACTGGTTATCAACTATTTGACTGAAAATTGAGAAACCAAATATAATTTAAGAGCTCTGCTTAGAAGCAAATGCACTGAGAAGTGCTGGGCTACAGCAAGCTGCTGAAATGCAGCTGGTTTGCAAGCAATGAAAAACCAGTCCTTGTCCAATGACTTTTTAGTGACCTGTGGGAAATAAGTTAATGTAACAGTGATCTCTTCATAGGTAGTAGCTGACTTCTTGGATTTGCTAACCAGAGCTGTCAGGGAATTCAAACAAATGGCAGACACTTGTTAAGCACAGTGGGAGAGTTTCTCTGTACTATTCTGCTTTGCTGTAGCTCTTTCAGAGAAGGAAGTCACCAGGGGATGCAGCTTTGGAATGGGGCATTCGCTGTGTCACTTGAAAAGAGTCAGAAACATTTGGGAATCAGATGCCTAATTTGTTCTCATTCACAAGACTGCAGCACTACCAGTGACTGGCAGCATGCAAACTTCTCAAGAGCCTACATCACATTAGGAATTCTTATGAGAGGAGGCTAGGGATACCATTAAACAGGAAAGGAAGCAGGAATATGCTGTTAGAAGCAGATACCTGACAGAGATGGAGAAGTCACCATGAGAGTTCTGACTGGCTCGGACAACGAAGCAGCCAACTCCTTTGCTCATGAGAAGGTTCTCTGCTTCGTGGCGGGATATCTTCTCATCAAACCAGCTGTCAAGTGGGAAAAATCATGGAGATGTGAATAAGGATGTGAATTAAGGTAAGGAATAAAAATGTTGAGGGTAGGGAGAATGTGAATAAGCAGGGTGGAGGGAAGAAAACAAAAGGATCAGAGGAGCCCACATGGCTACTCCCAGTGGCCACGTATATGCTGAGGTACAGAGGTTTGATGGATGCAGACCATTTTCTTTGAGTAGTAAAAACATGTACATGCAAAAAGAACAAGTACATGCAAAAAGAACAATGTAAGCTTTGGTCTGCTAAGAAGCAACACTCAGGTGAAACTGTAATTACAGACACAATACGGTGTTAGTCAATAAGTTACAATAAGGTGTTAGTCAAAGAAATTTTAAATGACAAATGTGTATGTATACATATATACACACATAATTCTCAAGACATATACATCAAATTGCTTTTTGGCAAACTGATGGAAAATTACTGCTCTGTGATGGATATATTGCATGGAACACACATAAATTTTTAGTAGAAGAAAGCCATGAAGGTTTTACTACTAATAAATTGGTTCCTGCAAGAGTTGCAATATCACAAAATCACAGAAGCACAGAATATGTAAGCACACTTACACAAATCTAGCCAGGCATAACAAACAACAGCATAAGGCACTGGACTAATAATAAGAAAGTCACCATAAACAGTAAAATAATATGATATCAGTAGGATTTTTTCAGTAGACAAACACAAAATCACATACATTTGCATACGCCCACTCCATAGCTAATAAGATCTACAATCTGCAGTCTTTGACTTCACCTAATACGTAATTGCCTGTATTGCATTAAAATTAAGGACTGCTAAGTTCCTAACGTCTGTAATTTCTGCTTTGGATTTCCTTATTATCATCACAGTTTACCTGTGTATCATTAGCAAAGAAAAATCAGATGAACCTTTGTCACCCTGTTCTTTCAAAAATTTAAAAGTTATTTTAAAAGTTTTCTATGCCTTCTGATGTTTACATATTTCTACTAGAATTTCTTGCACACTGTTATGTAAATAATGATTGTTTTACATTCTTCCTTGTGGGAAGAGAGAATTGACAGACTGTTAGTTTAACCAGTGTAGTCAGAGAAGTAGCAAATTCATCATCCAATCCACTGTCACTTTTAAAATTCTATATATTACAAGGTCAAGAATAAACTTCCTCTCTTTTCCCTCTTTTGCATCTAGTGTGGATGTGTGAGTTATTTTGTGTCATAGTGCGACAAGCCTTGATAACCAATCTTAATGATTACTTAATGAGAAAAAGGTGGGCAAAAACAATCCATCAGAAACAGGAGGCAGCTTTCTTCCCCACGTCTAGTTCTGTTATCTGGGCTGAACTGCTTCAAAGTGCAGACCTGACACTTAGAAAAGTGTCAAAGTGGAAATATTTCTTTGCAGCTCTTGCACAGAGAAAGCAACATGGGAAAAATGTGTGTGAAAAAAGAAGCTGACAGTGCTCCTGAGCGATGGCACAGCCCTGTGAAAGAGCAAACAAGAACAACTGACTGGAAGATCTCATTTCCCCGAGGCCCAAAGGTACAAGCCTGTATTTGCACAGCAAACCAATAATGTCCTTCAGTTCAGCCAAGCAGGTTGGCTTATGTCCAAAAAGGCCAGTAAGTGCCACCTCCAAAGGGGACAGAGGCACTTATTTGTAACCTCAAAATCCCTGTGTGTTTCCAGTATGACTGCTCAGAGCGCCGGTGTGTTACAGCCACAAGTACTGGGCTTGGTGCATGCTCTGCTCGTTCACCCCTGAAATGCTGCAGCACTTTTGAAAAAGGAGGATGATGAGAGGTGCTTCTGGGAGCATTTCTGCTAACTGAAAGGGTTGTAAAAATCCCATGTGCTGTCATATTTATGGCGTAGGGCTGGAGAGCACATTTAACATGCATTCCAACACGCATCAGTCCTTTCTGAAAGTGCAGATCCATCTCCTCAGCGGGAAGGGAGAAATGCAGGTAACACCTGTCCTCCGACAGGTCTGTTTGTGTGAGAGAGAGAGAGCAGAGCGGCGTGTCTGGTCTATCAGCTCTGCCGCTCCGGAGTAACACCAGCTGTTACAGCGGCGCGGCTTTGCACTGACCTCTAGTGCACCGGCAGAAAGTCACAGGCACTTCGTGGGAGTGGCAATGCGGTGGCAGGGTGGGAAAAGGGAGTCAGTGTCGTTAAGAATCGAAGGGGAGGAAATTTTTTTTTTAAAATTTGTTTTCAGAAAGATCTCTTGCTCTTCCTTTTGGGCTTAGACTCTGTCTCTGTTACCAAGACTTCACATCATGACTATTGTCCTTCTCGGAGGGCATCTAAATGCAATTCCTGCCACATCCCAGCATTCCTCTGCGCAGCAGTAACAAAAGAGTCATTTAGGACTGACAGCGATCATCGAGATCCATTTAGCTGCGAAAGAGCAGAGGATGTTTTGGAGTAGAAACACGCTGTGCTGGCAGAACCGTGTGTAGCATTATAGCAATCCCTGCCAGCCCCAAAATGTAGGATGTTATGCCCAGCACTTCCCCTGTCCTCTCCTCTGCATGCGCATGCAAACGTGGTCCTGACCGCACTCGGTGGAAATGTGCCATGGTGGTGACACCATTTCTGTCACACTTACTGGGGAACATGGAAATCAATGAAGTTCTTAGGAACGTAGCCCTCATGACTTCTGAGCTCAGCCTTGTACCACTCTTCCTGGGAACTCAAAATCTGCAATGGAGAAATGGATGGAATAAACGCGTCTTCTAAGAAAGGCAAAAGTGACCAAGATTCAGGAAGAAACCTAGAATGTCTTGTAAACATAAAAGAAAATGCTACACATTCTCTACTCCCCACCCATGGTGCAACAAGGTTAGTGTCTGATGACCACTTCAGAGCAAGCAAGCAATAAAGAAGCCTGAGTAGAATTAGGGAGATTGCATGTTAGCTTTACCCCTTTGTCTGACGGCCTGTCTGTGTATCTCTGATGCCTGTGAAATGGAGAAGTTCAGCTTTCAAAGACTTAGTAGGGGTTTAAGTTATTCTCTGTGCTGCCTTTTGTAGTTGGTACTGGAACACCTCAGAGTCACAAGGGAAGAAGAAAACATCTGTGAAAACTCCTCTGACATATGAATATGGAGGGATATGCAGCTGTAGCTGTGTGTGTTATGGCCGCACAGATGTTACCATGTGCTCTCACCTGTCATTTCACAAGAGATTCTTTAGTGGGTTAAGTCTTCTGCTGCCAAGGTAGATATAAGAAGGAGGCAAAAAGTGTTTCTGAGACACTATTAGACTTAGGAGATTGTAGGATAGCTGGAAGTGAGTCCACATCACACACCAGAGCAGTTCCAAGTGTGCTCACATTAATGTTAACTGTAATGGTCCTTAGAAACATCACTGCTGACCAGGAGGGGCCCAAATTCATGACACCATGACCGATGGCCCAAGATACAGCCCTAAGCTAGAGGAGAGAGGACAGAAATACAACCACATTGGGATTTTACTGCAAGTGTGGTCTTTGGTGTTTGGTTTGGCATTCCGGCTCCTGGGACAGGATTCTGCTGTATGAAATAGACCATATTTCTGCTCTTTCTGGTTTTGGAGAGGAGCCTAAAAGCATGAGCTGTGACAGATTTAAAAGGAAAAAGCCAATGGAAAAGAATTTAAAATCTATTGTTAACAGTAATAATACTTATTTTGCGAGGCAATCGAATGGTTTTGGGAACCTAAAGCACATTTTGGCTGCTTTGTACTTGAAACAGGATGTTACTGTCTCTGGAGCCAATTCTTCATTGCCTTCCCTGCCACGTAGGCCTTTTTTCAAACATCTGGATTCAGAAAAGTTAAGGAATAGAAAGCTGTGGAATTCCCTACTTGTATAGTCACTGCTGTCTCATGCCTGGGTGCTGGGTTAAGGATCTTTTCCCACTGCTGTGGCCAAACACAGGGGATGATTGCTACTACCTGCTCATGCTTGGAGCCTACTCTGTTGGAAGTGAGGTTTCCAGAATGACCCGCCAGCTGTTTTCCACTGCAGAGCTGGCAGGTTTCTCTCAGTGTGTCATCCTCTCAGAGAAGGATGTAGGGGGGGGGCTAAGAGGGTGGATTTCCTCCTGTCGCTACTGGTTGAGGGCCTCATGTTTCCTGTTTTGTAATCTCTACATCAATATTTCATCTTATCTCCTTTATAAATCAGCAGGTTGTTGCAGGCAGCACGAGGGGGCTCATGATGGGGTAGGAATGTGTGTGTACCTATGCCAGAACAGAGCTGTTACTCAGGTTGATTTACTGCTACTACGGCTTGGGTGGCTAAGATGTTGTTTTGTTTACTTCAAGGACATTAAAGCAAGAGGCAGTTTGATTTTTCTAGTAGTGAATTCTCTGTGACAACTAATAATAATAAAACTGGTGTGTAGTGTTGACACTTTTTATCAGAAGATTCCAGCATACTTTGAAAGGAAGCTCTAGCTTATAATGATTTTACAGGAAGGGAAACTGAGGAACAGAAAGAAAAGTGACCTGGCTAGCACCATCACCCCAGCCAGGGACTTGATGGAAGTCTCCTGAGAAAAAAGGCATCAGTAAAGGTCATGTGATAATGTGAGAGTAGGGACCAACTGGGGAAGAATAAAAGTGTTTATCTGTGCTGAAGAGAGGCAGTGATTTCTCCAGAACCTTCTCACAGCTCTTTGGAAAGATTTGGTACTAATGAACTCTGGATGCTATCAACTTCGTCTAAGTGCCAAGAATTGAAAGGCCAATAAAATAATAAGTGGTGGCAATGGAAAAGGCAAGACTGAGACCCAATATCTGATTATTAGCTGGAATATCTGTGACTGCACAGAGGGGTAGCCAACAGGACTGTACATCCTATTGTTGTACATCATCCCTTTGGACAGTAAAGGGAATGGTAATACTCAAGAATTTTCAATGGAAACAGAACATCTGGGGCTGAGAAGTGGATAAATAATTAGGGTGAAACTTCAACTGGCTTCATCTGTGGGACTTTGGTAACATTAACAAGAACTGTTCTATCATAACACGTACAAAGCAACTTTAAAGAGACTGCCAGAAGCTCTGTATTTTATATGATCAGCTCTACTTCTGCCATTGCCTCTTTGTTAAATTCCTGCAAGGGTGTATATAACGTTATTAGACCAGAACCTCTTAAACTATTCCACTATGTGTGTAACAGTCTGTCTCATGGAATTTTCCTCTCCTATTTGCAATTGCATAAGATCTCTGCAGCATCTAACAATAATTACTAACAGCGAAAAGTTAGATAGAAATTCTAGAATGGATAAGAGCTATCTTTTAAGCAGTTCAAAGGTTGGAAATAAAGAAGACAGCAATCCCTCTGGACAGAACTGGTCCTGCAATTTTAGACATAGTCATCATAATGTAGTCACTGTGGATGGTTTACCTGGTCAATGAAAACAGACAAGACCCTCAAAACCTGTCACCAAAGATCTTTATCTGTACCCCAGCAAAGATACATACCCTTCCCTGCTGACTACCAGAGGACTGCAGGGCAACTAAATCCACAGTTCATGAACATAAAATCAAGAAAAGTGGACACAGACTCAAGTAAGCTGGGAATTCTTGTCCTATTGCAAACCCTGTGGGAGAGGAATATCCTGAATTTGTATCCTAGTTTATAGATGTGTCTTCATCTGTTTTGTCAAGGCAAATGGAAGCACAAGAAAGATGTGGAAGCAGTCTCAGAAACACTGTTTCAAGATGGGGACTGTACTTACCTTCAACACATCACCAGCCTGGAAGCTCAACTCGTCTTCTCCAGAAGCCGTGAAATCAAACTTGGCGATGGCTTCCATATTGTGTCCTGGGGGCAGAGCAAAGCTGGAAGAGGCAACGTCAGATACTTGTCAGCATCTATGAGCTACTGGGATCGCAGAGTCCAGCCTTGGAAAGCTGACAGGCAGTGCTGTGATTTGTATGTGGAGCAGCACGCAGCACCTACAGGCAGCCATTAGTTACCAGACATGGGAAGACATTAGCAGGTAGAAGAGAGGGCATGGCTGAGGCTATAATTAGCTGAAGTCAGAAGTACAAATAACCAATAGTGTATGCTTATTCCAACTGATTTCTTTCTCTAGAGCGATCTCATGGGAAAAACGTGTATAGACCAACTTTGTCACAGTTCCCAATAAAGCAAGTGACTCTGTTCTGCAACAGAAAAATGTATTTGCCCCCTGCAGTGACTTACTCTTTGTGATGGCTGAACATGGGTGACCACAACTTTCAGGTCGGAAAACACTGTTTGCAGAAAGGCTGTATTCCCAATTTTGAAGCATGTAGAGAGTTAGTCTACCTCTGTGTTGGTAATCCAGGAGCCTGAAATGTATCAGACAGCCTGCAAACCAAAGGCTGCTTTTCAGCACCAGAGCAATGTGGCAGGGGAAGTGGCAAGATGGGCTTTGCTCCTTCACCACTTCCTGCTCACATAACTCGGATGTACCCCAGCAGGACCATTTTTATAATCAAGAGTTACCAATTTCCCATGGCTGGGTCATGTACCCCCCAGCCCAGTGGTGAGGCTGCCAGTGACAAGCCAAGAAATAGTCAGGCAGTACCACCTTAAGCAAGTGCACTGCTGGCAGATGCACTTGCAGCACAGCTTCTGAACACCATCAGACAACTCCAATATAGAAGTAATTTTTATGATTTCTAAGCTAGTTTTGTCTGGGAACAAAGATCCTGAAGCCACAGGTACCACTACCTAATCTCAATTCTCACAAAAACACCCAATTTTTATGGCTTCAGAGGAAGTGCCAGCTTGTCTGATCCAAAACATTCTTAACCAGAAAGCTCTAGAAACAGACTGTACAAACCAATGAGCAACCCTAATTAGGGTTAGATATTTCTTATCAGTTAGAACTGACACAAGATCCCCACAACATAAAGTGTTGATACTGAACAATCTCCAGAATTTTTCCACTTTAAAATCAAGAGGCTGCAGTAGTCCTCCTTCTCGGCAGTACATGCTGTAATGTTCCTCCTCTGACACACAGCCCAGGGATTTAACTATCTGTGTGAGCAGAATCCAGGGCCCAGCTCTGGTACAGCTCAACTTAAACTGCTGAGAATGAGCTGGCAGAAAGCCTGCAGGGCAAAAGCTCCAGGACTGCACCAGCATTAGCCCAGGGATTCCAGAGGAAAACCACCAACATGGGAAGATATAAAATCTCAGAGGAAATACAAAACCATAGTTTAGTTGTGATAGTCAGTCTAGCTGAGTACCTGTCATGAATCATTTGGGTCACTGAGTTGAGTTGTCAGTGCCATCAGTCCTGACCTAGCTGGTGGCAGATGGTAACCATGGAGGGTGACTCTTCATTTCTGATTGATACCTGCAAATAATCTTTGGGTGCTTTTACACAGGTGAGGAGTATGCTAACGTGTAGCCTAAAATTTCATTAAGTCCTAACTAGGTTCTGTGTGTGTTAACTGTATAAAGCAGTTATTTATTGCCTAAATTGTCTATTTCCTGCTTGCAGAGTCCCTTTGCAATTGACTAAAGATCCCTGAATAAAGTGATCCACAAGAGGGGCCATAACATCACTGGACATTAGTTCCGATATTTGTTACAACCACTTCTAATTAGAAAAAAACCCTGTTTGTATGCTTCCTAGTGGATTCTGTTAGCATTCTCTTTTTTACTGCTTATAGGTGAATTTATATCCATGTGGCTGATGAGAGCTATGAAGTACCAAGGCAAATTTTTGGCAGTCCAGAGAGTTCTGCTAATTCAGCAAGGATCTGCTCTAGAGTAATTGGGGTTGCTTCAGTGCCAGAGCCCCCCATGTAGGTCAGAGTATGTAGCTCAGCTGAGACCCACCCTACACCTGCTATTCCAACCTGCTGCCTTAGGCTTTCAACAAAGATCAGTGCTGAACCCTAACACCCTAAAGCACATCAGTGCTTTATTCTCAGGCTTCAACTTTCCACCTATTCCAAACATTTTCACCCCCTATTCTCATTGTTGACCTACTAACACTCTTTAATTCTTACTTTTGATACCTTTTCAGGTTAGGGTCACCCTCTGTCTTACTCTTATTTCAAGACATTGGTGTTGCTCTGCAAGTGCAGCTCAGGCCTGATTTGAGATCTGTCCCCTATTCTTGCATAGATATTTTTGGAGCTTCAGTCTGTAACCCTTCACAGGCAGTGTCAGCCCTGTTGTGTGCTAACAGAGCATAGCGGCATTAAATTGGAGGGGAATTAACCCTTAAGGGAACTGGTTAAACAATTATACTCTTTCATGGAAGACAATTTAAGAAAAAGACTAAAGGAGAGTTGCTTTAGTAAGGGTTGTTTTTCAGTGTTTTATCTTGCAGTGGTGAACTGCTGCAGAGAGATCAGAGCCAACAATGCAGGTGGATCCTGGAACTCCTAAATGAAGACCATTAATCCCAGGTTGAGGAAAAGAACACACTTAAAAACAATTTAAATACAAATGATTCAAATACAAATCCTGTCTTTGATTCTGTCCTTTAGATACAGAAGAAGATGTGGGGGGTCTCCCTACAGGGGCAAGAGAGTAGAAAAACTTTAATTTTTCAATAACCCAAATGTTAAAAGTGCTATTGGAATGTGGCTCCCTCCAAAGGACAAGATTTTGTGAAACAGTTAAAATCTTCCCTCTCACTTTCTTTCCAATTTCAGAAATCCCAGCCTCAGGGAGATACCAGGAGAGAGATGCCTCTTCAAACAATCTAACACATGGATTAAATATGCCTTTCATTGCCAGTGGCTGGATTTAGAAGTGGCTCAAACACCATCCACAGTGTTTGCTGTGTTGATAAATCAGCAACGCAGTAATGCTCTAGCCTTAAGCTCTTCCCCACCAACTACTAAAGCAACACTAGCCAATAATCCTGTCTTTGAACTCCAGCCTACCATTTTTCAGCACCTGAGCTTCAAACCAGTTCTGTTTCTCTGATCCTGTTCCTCCCTCCATGTGTAACTTGAGAATCCCCACTCCACATGGGTCAGTCCTGGGCTCATGAAAACTCTCCTGCCAGGAGCCCGTTCTTTCCCTCTGCATGCGTGTGACTCCCAGCACCACCCCACAACACAGACAGACAGGAAATTTTTCACTATTATCATAACTTACATTTCTCAAGCACCTTTTATCCCAAATTCTGCTTTTAACTGCATGGTGCAACTCCTTTAAGCTTTTAATAGCCAAAGACAATTTTACACTGTGCACAACGTTCTCTGTGGAAATCACCTTTGTAGAGAGTTTAGCATGAAACATATGCAATGTTCAAAGAGGGATTTTTCAGTTCCAAGTGTGAGCTGACCAGTGCCCTTCATTTTGTGCTGGCTTTGTGCACACAAGTGAATTTTCTCTGTGGTTCACCTTTGCAACAGGGTGGATTCAAGAGGCATAAGGCTACAGCAGTTCTGTGGGAGCAGTGCAACAGAAGGTTCACAAAATGAAAAGTGAAAAGCAACATGGCTTTCAGAGCACAAGGTAGGCATTTTAGTTTGGCAGAATGCCATTCCCTGAGCAAGAACATCAGTGTCTCTGTTGATGGAAAGTGCCAAGGCCTAAAACATGTCAGCAAGCACTACAGCCTGAGAGCAGAGTCCCAAAGAGTTTAACACTGCTACCCTACACCATGTTGGTTCCAAATTCAGCAGTAACAATGCCAGGGAAGGTCACCACCTATGAAGAGTTCATCTCTCGGGGATTGCCCAGCCTCAGCCTTTCCCAATTTCACCTACTTACATCACAAGAAGAGCAAAATTTCAACAATGCACTCACTTAATGGAACCATATGCAAAAAAGTTCTATTTGTATGCCAGTAGCATAAAAAAATCGCACACATCTCCAGTCTGAAGCTTCATCCAGTGACGTTTTCCACGAAGATATACAGCACGAGCTACCGTGTCTTTGTTCGGCTCTACAAGAACAACCTGTTGGACTGATAAGCAGCCGGGGACAGGATTCAACCCTGAGGATCTGTACAGAAACTTCAGATGACATTTCAGCAGAAACAATGGAGAAGGGACCTGTAATCTAGAAGAGCTGTTGCAGATAACAGCTTTGTTTTCACCAGCCAATCCACATACAAGTGGCAAGGGAATACTTAGCTCCAAAAACACAAACCTCTTGCTACTGAGTTAACGGTGCAGCTTCACTGACTGTCAGTGATAAGAGGGTAAAATTTATAAGGAAGAACAAGTCACTAAGACACTCAGAAATTATACATTTAAGTCTTGGCTATTTTGCCACGCAGAGCAATGCACAGCATTTTGGCTGAGCCTATGTGCAAACAAAATAAACCTCCTAGGAACTGGATTAATGGAACAAACAAACTTTCAGGACTCTATAACCAACAGCAGTTGGTAAGAAATGCCCCAAACTAGGATGGTGCTTAATTTCCCTAGGGAACCCAGGTCTTCTGTGCTACTTCCCATCACGTCAGAGTAGAGTTGTGCAGCAACATGGGAAGCTGGTACAACCTTAGGCTCAAAGAGAGGAGCACCTGATACAGTACCAGGTATGGTATCACAGCATGATACCGTGACAATGTAAAATACCAAATCTTTGATGTGCTGGAAGGGTTGGTGAGGGGGGACAGGGGTGGTGGGGAAACACCTTCTTTTGGTTGCCCACCTCCTCCCTCAGATCCCAGCTGGTCAGATTTGGCAGAGGGAGAGGGATTTGTCCTGCAAAAGCACTGCGCTGTTGTGAAAGCTGATAAACAAAACGGCCTTGGGATCCCATGCTCTGCCCCATTGCGCAGTACTTCACCTTTCCTTCCAAAACCCCCCTTCCTCCCTTTACCGTGTCTTAGCCAGCTCCCCCCACCTGAGTGCCGGAGCCG